AGATGAGAGTTTTAAAGTGAAGCCAACCATGAAAGTAAGGAATTGATTTCTATCTATTGATCATAACTTTTGCATTTTATATAATTCCAATATATCATGGAATAGAACAATTGATGGGTACCTGAATTGAACCCTCTTTAGGCCTTTGTTTTATTTGGATAGTAGCATTTGGATTATGATGGCATGTCACTTAGCACAAATAGTTTGAAAATGCTAACTAGCATGACTGCTATACTTATTTGGAACAGTTTCACCAGACAAATAGCATATACAACTATGTATCCAAATATCCAATATATATTTAGTATGAAGTAGCTCCATTATGAATAAAATAAACAAGCAAAAGCATATATGAGTAACTTAAAGTTAGTGCCTTAAAAAGATGCTTAATTCATTTGCTTTATTTGAATAATTCATACCAATTCTACTTCTTCCACAAATTTATGTCCAATGTTCACTTCTAGATATATCCTTCTATCTTTAGGTGCATTGTGGTTTTATGCCAAAGGGTGGTGCAGAAATGGATAAGAAAGACATCGACTATGCAAAGAAGTGTCGGTTTGTGGTTGCCTCCGGCATTTTTGACGGATACGATACACCTCACCAACCATCAAACATAAGTGCACGTTCTCATATGCTCTTTTGCTTTCTTATGACAGTGGATGAAGTATCTCTTGACTTCATCAAGAAAAATGTCACGGTCAGAGAGGATAATGATGGTGGACTGTGGGTGGGTATCTGGCGTCTAGTTTTACTGAAAAATCCGCCTTATGATGAGCCTAGAAGGAATGGGAAAGTTCCTAAGATATTGACACACAGGTTATTCCCTCAAGCACAATACAGCATTTGGATTGATGGTAAAATGGAGTTAATAGTTGATCCATTGCTTATGCTTGAAAGGTACAGTGATTTTTTACAATTACTTATAATGCAATGCGGTGAATTATCTTGTTTACTTCATTTGTCTATTGCTCCTTTTAAATTCAAAATAGCACAAAAGCATATGGTTACATAACTGACTGCCTACACTGTGAAATTACATTTGATTAGTGGTATAAGTTATGAAGATGATGTCATACTGAAAATGTGATTGAGTTATTATGGCCTTATCAGTTGGAACTCCTTCCATGCTGACTTCTCTGTAAACGTTTCTTGCGTTTTCATTGTCCCTTTCAGAAGTGAAAATATATGAATATTTTGTGAGAATGAGTTAGTTTCCTGGCATTTTCCCATGATTTGTATCTCCTCAATTGAGCTGCTCAACTTAGGTACTTGTATTTGTATGTTTAGATACTTGTGGCGTGGCAAGCATACATTTGCAATAGCTCAGCACAAGCATCATCAGAGTATATATGAGGAGGCTGATTCAAACAAACGGAGAAAACGTTATGCTCGACCACTTCTTGATCTTCAAATGAAAATATATCGTTATGAGGGACTGGAACCATGGAATCCAAATAAAGGCATAGTTAGTGGTAAGTGAATTGATGCCTCAGTATTGCTGTTATTAATACACACACCTATATGAATATGAATATGATTGCACACCAAGTGGGAGGTCTAGTGATGAATGTTGTTCCAAAGTAATTCCAGTGATTCACTTGTCTAATTACAATCCACACAAAACATGTGACTTACATATCTGATGGACAAGTTTTGTATGATTGTAGATGTTCCGGAAGGAGCAGTTATTGTACGGGAACACACTGCAATGAACAACTTGTTTAGTTGCTTATGGTTCAACGAAGTCAACTTGTTCACACCACGAGACCAGCTGAGCTTCGGGTATGTTGTTTACAGGCTGGGGGGCAAGTTCAAATTTTTAATGTTTCCAAACTGTGAATACAACTCCATCTTTATTTTACACCCTCATACGCGGGAGCATTCATCTAAAGTGGAGTGGGTGAAATCTTTGGATGAATTTAAGAAGGATAGTAGTGGTTTGAAAGAGAGTAGAGGAGGGTTTGGATTGTGGACCCCTTATCCGGGGAATCTGAAATCAGTTGTATTACCACATGTAACAAGAAAATCAAAAGCTGGATGATGATGATGATGATGATGATGATGATGATGATGTTTGTAATGGTGTTATTTTTGTAGCTCTTAGAGAAACGGTTGGGATTCCTCAGAAAGGAGAGGTTGTTCCTTCAATTCTCCAAACAATTTGAATCATTTCTTCTGGATAAGTTGTCTCAGTCTCACTGATGAATGAACCAACCAACTAAATTTGTCATTTATCATTTGTCATTTGTGTGAGTGCCGTGCAAATATACATAAATAGGAGGAGCCTTGCCAAATGGCTTATAATGACACTGCAAGAAAAGAAATACAATTTTCATAGATAACAAATATGAATATTATGAGAGAGAGAGAGGGGTAAATAAATACTCAAAAGCTCAGCTTTTTCGCTAATTCAAACGCCTGTGTTATTTTATTTTTGTCCTCACTGCCAAATACGGTATAAGAAAAAAAAAAAAAGATAACAAATGAGTATTTATCTCATAGCCTTATTTTACAGACGACGACCAAAAATCAGTGAGAATTATTTTGTGTGGCGACGTCCACGTCATCGCTTCTCCACCATAACTCTCACTCACACATCATCACTCTACTTCCCTCTTGCTTCAAGGAACCGCTTGCTTAGATTCACTGCTCAAAACAAAATATGGCCACACCTCTATCGGTCCGACCGAATCGCACCATCATCGGCACCCACCCCCTCGGTTCATCCCGCCGCAGGTCGCTCTGCCGCCGCCCCTCCTCGCTTCACGCTACTAACAGGCTCAAGAAACTCGGCGTTGTATTCATCTCCCGCCGGCGAACCTTAGACACCGCCCTCCATGCCGGCTCCAGAGCAGACGACTCAGCTCCGTTCGAGATGTCCGTCGAGAACGCCCTCAAGCTGCTGGGAGTCACGGAGGGTGCGTCCTTCGAAGATATTCTTCGTGCCAAGAATTCGATTATCGCTGCCTGTAAGGATGACCCAGAAACAATTGCAAAGGTCTGATATTCCAGTTATGTCTTTGAGCTTTCTGTAACTGCTCTTCCTCTTGTTTTTGAATTGTATGTGCCGTCAGAAACTTCATTAAATCCTCCTGTTGCTTAGTTTCCTGTAAATTGTGTTCTCTGTTGCTTGAATTGATTCTGGCAGAAATTATAAGGTAAGGATTTGCTTATTAATTAAAGCTCTGATATGATTATTGTACGGAGTATGTCAATATAGTTATTAGCATGTGAACCCAGATATTTATGGGGTCCTATCCCTATTCCTATTGCATCTACTGATGAGTCACCTCTTGTTCAACCTGATGCGCAACAACATCATTCGAAAAATAGATCAGTGTTATTGGGAATAAGGCAATGATTCTAATCCACTCCATAAAATGAACCATTAACTGAACTGAATTTATTGCATCTGGACCCTGAAATCCTCTGTTTGAAATCATATGTTTATTATCACAAACATGTTTGATACACCTGCCTTCTTCTTCGCATGATGGTCTTCTGTTTCCACATTTGCTGTTAGCATATTCTTCCATTATTTTTGTGTCTGTTGCTTTATCAAGATTCTTCAAGTTATGGTAGTAGTAGTTCTTTTAGAAAACAAAATTAGAATGAATGAATGCTAGATATTGACATTAAACTACTCAAAGGCTCTCGCTTGCTATGCTTCAACATTACATTTAAAAAGGCATTTCTGCATGTGCATGTCTGTTATAATTGTGTATGCATGCATTAAAAGCAATTACATTCAAATTTTCATTCTTGGAAGTTTAGTATTTGACACTTGGCATCCTGACTAATAAACTTGCTTAACATCTTCCGTAAAAGGGCACCATTCTCCTTCACGGATCAAAACAACCTCTTTCTTTCTGTTCATTTGAGAGCTCTAGATATTTATTTCATGGCATTCTTTCCTTGGAGTAATATGGTCATGGTTTTATAGGTGGAGGTTGCATATGATATGCTGCTTATGCAGAGCTTGTCACAGAGGAGAGCTGGAAAAGTTGTTGATAAATCTGTCCGTTACGCAGATGTTAAATCTAATGCTCCTAGAATGGACTCAATGCCCAAGTGGTTAAAGACTAGTGTCCGGAACTCACCTGTTTCATTTGAAACACCATCTACTGGTGAGCTGGCTGTCCAAGCTGGGGTCTACGGAGCCCTAATGGTCTTAACATATGCCAATGGAACCTCATCATCTTCTGAAGCAGCATATGCTGGAGCAGATGTTCCTGGGTTGATTTTAGCCACTAGTTTTGGAGCAACCTTGTACTTCATGACCAAGAAAAATGTCAAGTTGGGTAAGTTCCTCTCTCTCTCTCTCTCTCTCTCTCTGAGGGATGCAGAGGATAGAATTTATGTTTGCAAGAGAAGAATAGGATGAACTGCTGCTTCAAATCTATTGGCTACTTGTAAATGATATTATCGGTCAAACTAGACCATTGAGAGATTTGCCAAATTTAATTATACAGAACTCAGTCTAGCATAATGTGATAGCTTATTAGTGTTAACAAAAAATGTTTACAGGGAAAGCAAGTCTTATAACAATTGGTGGGCTTGTGGCTGGGGCAGTGGTTGGGTCTGCAGTTGAGAGTTGGTTGCAAGTAGATGTTGTACCATTTCTTGGCATACACAGCCCTGCAACTGTTGTGGGTGAATTTGTACTTATTTCTCAATTGTTGGTCTCCTTGTATTTAAGGTAAGGCCAAAGCAAGAGCTACTGTGGTGCTGATTATAGGATTACAAGGTCGGTGCCTATTCTTTGCAAGATGACACATGCTTATGTAGGTTGTGTAATTTCTGTAGAAATTGAATGTTGTACAACTTTTGTACTCGCTTAAAATGTACAGCTTTTGATTCCTCTACTAGTTCAAATGTCATTTCTAGTTGCCTGTGATTAGATTAGTGCTTATGGTGGAATCAAAATTCAATAGCAAGTGCGAATAGTAACCTGTCCTCTCTATACAGCTGCTTGTTTAGAGGCATAAAGAAAGAGATGAGAGAATCATGAAATTTACAAGCTTAAGGGGGCAAGGTAAGCATACTCAACAGTCAACACAGCATTTTTCCTTAAGTGAGACAGTGAGAAATGACAAATAAATAACTACCGACTATGGTGCCTCAGCGAGCTGCTTTGGCACAACCTAAATCTCTCAACCCATTCAAATCCAATCCTCCCTCGTGTTTTGTCCATCATACATATATCATCTTTTGACATCTTCAGCTTGAGAGCCCTCTATGTAAGTTGGGTTCCCAGCTTTTTGAGAATTTTCCCAAGTGCTTAAAACTTCATTGTACATTTTCGAAGCTACTATAGAGAATTCTGTGACAGACTCGAAAACTCTACCAAATCCACACTGAAAGCCTCTCAATGTGATTCTCTCTGTTTCTTTCATACATTTTCTGTGCTCTTCCCTTTCCGAATCAACCCTCTTACGCAAATTGTCAAGCAAATCTTTCCGTTCTTTTAGATACTCTGCCCTGTGCTCAATCTCCAATTCTGAGTTCCTATCTGTGAGCTTGAATTCACAAATTCTATTCTCAGCCTTTTGGAATGCCAGGGTTTTTCTCTCCAGTTCTTTTGACAAGCTGTCAACTTTTCGCTTTTGTTGTTGTTCCTCTCCCTGTTGAACCCACAGAGCCCTTGCATCTTTTACACAGGATTTTAGTGCGCAAGACACTGACTTGTCGGGCAACTTATTCATGGCAGACAACCAATCATGACAAATTGTGAGAAGTGGAGGGCCATTGGTCCGGCATGGTGGTGTGCCACTTCTACCTCTGCAGTAGAACTCAACTTCAGACACCACAAACTTAGACAACCAACCATGGAGGGATTCAACGTACGCCTTCTGGGCTGCAATATATTCTGTAAAGCATGAACGCCAATTTTGAAGTTCAACCTCAAACTGGAGTGTTGCAAGACGATGTGAATCGTTGCAAAATTTTCCATAGGTAGGACAGTTAAAACTTGTCACTTCAAACATAATCTTCTTTTGAATTTCATGGGATTCCAACATAATTTTCCAAGTTCTCATCATTCTGCACCAAATAGCAAGTGTCAACAATAAAAGAAAAGAAAAAAAAATACCTCTTCTTCTTATTTCTTAATCAGGTGAAATATAGCCCATACCCTTGAAGAAGTTCAATTATTTGTGGTTGCAACTCCTCGTCTCTAAGTTTCTCAATTCTTTTTGATATTGTTTCAGCACTCCGAACCGTAACTAGGATCCTGCTGTATAATTCTTTTACTGCTGCTCTAGTTTTGTCTGGTTTCTTTCCTCCATCTCTTCTTGCATCTTGATTCCTTAGTTTGTTGCATTTCTTCTCATACAATTTCCAAGTGCTATCCCCATTCTACTAGAAAGCAAGTTTACAGGTCAAGTACTAAATGCCAAAGAAAGAAAAGAGGAAAACGTACAAACACCACCAAAGTACTACCCAAACGGCTTTATGGCATCTCAATTAAACTGTGAAATCTACAACTGTAACTTTAATTTGATTATTGCCACTTAAGGCTAATACTATATTAAGGCTCAGAAAGATTGGGAAGGCAAGCATCAGAACTACAAGTATTCCAGTCATTCTTACCTTAACCTCTTCATACAGCTTTTTCTCCCAAGCATAAAGCCTCCCTAGTGTCAGGGAATGACTTCCAGATCCCATTCCCCCATAATCGCCAAAGAGATCATTTGTGAACTCTGTCCATGTTGAAGAACTTTTTGAGCTAGATGCCACGAGACTCTTAGATGAGAGTGAATGTGACGGAGTAGGGAGCCATGTGAGTGCTAGTTTTGTTGAGTGTTCTGCATACATATGAGAGAGATGCTTGCTTTAAGGATTTTGTACAAGGAATCAACAGTACAATAGAATAGAAACTTGGGAGATAGATATTTTCTCATTTATTGCACTGAAAACAACCAAAAAGGACTTTCACATAATTGTTTCAATGTGCCATAACAGCAAATGACAAGAATCATTGCATCCCACCTGAAACACAGAATATTCAATATTAAAGTTGCTACTTTTGAGTAGAGAAAAGATGTAATTACCTTTCAAATCCTCCAAATTTGGTTGAGAGTGAACCCAATTGGCCTCCAACATCCTGGACACTTCCTTCCCAGAATCATATGCCCTTGTGAAATGATCTTCAATATCCTTCAATGCTTCAAGCAACTCTCTCCCCTCTAATGGTGTATCCATAACTGTCATCCCCCCCTTGTGCTCCTCCACTGCCTTTACATCCTCAACCCCATTCTCCTTATTGTGCTCCTCAACATTCTCATTATCTACTGCTGCCACTACCACCTGACACTCTTCTTTCTTTCCACCACTACCGCTGTCTTCTTCTTCTTCTTCTTCTTCTTTCTCCAAGTCTGGAATGCCCTCTCTCTCCCTCACTGCCTTCAAATCCTCCTCCGAAATCTGATTATATCCATTAACAACCTCTGGCCTAACACCATTAAAAGGGTTGAAGAAATCCCAACCAAAATCAGTGGGTGTTGAATGCAATATCTCTTGAGGCATTTCCATATAGAAATACCCACAAACAGGTGCTTGTTGCACCTTCTCTTCTTTCTTCTCAAATTTCTCCTCTCTTACTTGTTCCTCAGAAGAGTCTTCTGGTTGGGTTGCACACTTGGATGAGTCTACACAGGCGATGGATTCTTGGGTTGGGTGAGAAGGCTTTTGTTGAAGAAACAGTGGCGAAGTTGAGACCAGATTTTGTTTATTAGGAGGAGAAGAGGGGCTCGGTGGTGGCAAGGTAATGAGATATGGAGAAGAAGGTAAAGAATGGCGAGCTACAAATAGCTTGAGAGCTGCTGAGACTCCATTGAGTGCTTGAAAATATTTATGATGAGCATCAGCTAGAGTGTACCTTCTGTCTACAGTAAGTCTGAGTTGTTTTTTTCTGTCTCTGCATATGGAAACCACTTCTTCTTCTTCCTCTAACTTAGAAGCTACACACCCCATTTGGGTCCTCTATTCTCTTCTCCTCAGCTCCCCGGCCACTTGTGTCTGCGTTGTTTGAAAAGTAGGCTACTGGACTGAAATCGAAAAAAGGTGGTTTCTTGGAAGGATGTGGGGGGTTTTGCAAAAGTAATTTCTTTTTTCCTGGGACAGGTGGTGGTTTAGAGAAGAAGAGCGCAAATGTGTTGTGAAATGGTTATTACCCACCCAGCAAAAGAAGATTTCAGTCACACATTATACAGACGCTGCCTGCCTTTGTTTTTTGTTCAGCAAATTAAAATGGTGTAGAGAGAGAAAGGAAGGTTGGGGCTCGAGGTCGAGGAAGAGAGATGATGCCACTCTTGAATTCTTGATTCTTCTTCAGTAAAATAGTCTACTTTTTCTCTCTCTCTCTCTCTCTCTCCGTCTTAGTTATGCAAAGAAAATTTGTTTCCCAGAATCTATTACCATAATCTAAGTAAGATGTTTGTGGCAGAGATTTGTATTTGTATTTGTATTTGTGAGTTGTGAGGGACAGATAGTCTGAGGAGTGAGACAAAAGAGGAGTCAAATGCAGGTCAAAGGGTAGATATGTCAGAGTGGAGGGATAATTAATTAGAGGCGCATTATGTTAGTATGTTATTAGAGTACATGATGATCAACTAAACAAGCAATTATTAGAATATAATGAGTCTGTAATATTGAGATCAAAATTGGTTTGGTAGCATAAAACCATGAACCAAAACTGGTTTCTGGAAAAGATGTATTGAGATAGAAAGAGATGATAAATTTGTTAGTTTAATTTGATGAATTATTAATTAATGAGGAAATTTGTGGTGGGAAGTGGGAAGGCGAGCCTGTAGGATTTACTTACGACAGGGAAGTGGGTAATTCTCGGTTTGACCGTCTGGTGGTGACTAATAATACTACTAACAAACACTAGGTAGGAGTGTCTTGTTGTGGAATGGCGCGAATATGCCCCTGACACTCTGACATATCATATTCCCTAGATTTTTTTTAATTTTAAAAAAGCCCCAACTCCCAACTCCCAAGGGCTGGGTACTGGGTAGGCATGTACTCTATATCTATCTATCTCTATCAATCAATTAATTAACACCAAAATGACTTCCTTTACACTGTGGACAAGCCCGCCCATACCCATTCATAAGTGAAAAGTCAGTCCACTGGGCCTCTCTATCAAGAAGTTGCACAAACAGAAAGAAATGGGCACTAGACAGGGAGTTGAATAAGGAGGAACATGTAACTAAAAATCCAAGTTGCAATTAAGGAGGTTGAGGTTAGTGTGTAGATTAAAATATTGATTGATTGATTGATGTCCTGCAACTGCCATATATAATATAATATAAAAATATATATTTAATGTTTTAGAAGAAGCTACATGTCTGCGAGTGGCTGGTACGAAAATAGTACAACAAACAAAGAAAGAATTATATATAATTAAATTTAGCAGGCAGCGCCAAATTAAAGGAGCATTACATTGCTGCGGTGGCGCATGGAGCAAGAGTGTTATGGCGCAGATTCAAAGTGCCTCCCTTGACAGACAGGCTAGCAACCTTGACAGGACCAAGATTGGAGTTGAGGTATACAACCACCACTGTGATGTCATCGTGGAAATGGCGACGAACACCCCTGTCTATTTTCTTCAAGTCTGAGTATCTCATTTCCCTTTTCTTGGCTGCTTCTCGCAGTGCAGTCTTTACTAGCCTTCTAGCAATCCCATTGCGGGGGTGATGTTGGACAATGTCAACAGCTTCTTGATTACTTAGGTGCTCCCACAGACCATCTGATGCAAATATCACAAATTGATCATGAGATTGCAATTGGAGCACAGAAATGGATGGATCAGAGCTGAGTATGGGTTTTTTAAAAGGTTCACGCAGCCGAAATTTTGCATATAGTGGTTCCCTGTTGAATTCTGCTTTCTTCAAGTACACATCACCAATAGATCTTGTGATCTGCATTGCATTGCATTGCATGCATATATGCAACCAACAATTAATATATATTATGATCGAATTCAGTATTATAATGGATCAAAAACTTGTTGTTCTTCACCTGTATAATGCCCTTGACACGCCACACATTGTGCTTTAAAACCACAATTTGTGAGTCATCTGGGTGCAAACATTGTAGCTCCTGTCTTACAGATTCAATGCTTGCATTGTGTTCTGCCGACAGCTGTACTGCAAATACCTCCCCCGTCGCCTTCACAAGCCTCCCTAAAACAGCACGCGAGTCTCCCAGGTTGGCAATATATAGAGATCCAGAGCAGATAACTCCAACAAGGCAGCATGATCCAACAGCAGCAATCTGTGGCTTCACTGCCCATTGTGCCGACACAACTCTGTTAAACCCCTCTTCTGTTGCTTCAAATGCCTTTCGAATTACCTCCACTGACATTGATTGCTGCTCAGAAACGAACCCTGCACCATCACATCATTCATTCATTCATTATATGCTTGCCATGCATGCAAATTTCTACACCACAGATTCTCTTCACTGCTCCTCACAAACCATATATATATATATATAAGCATGCTGATGAATAATCTGAGAGATCCAATCCACCTGTTTTAAGAAATCAATTCCTTTCCTTTTACACCTACAATGCTTTTTATTCGATTGAATACTGTACTAGATAGAGAGATCAGAGTTATTCCAAATCATATCTCATATGAATGAATTGAAGGAGATAACTAACTTACTCTTGAGGTAGTGGAACAGGTTGTCATTGATATACCTAGAGGTCTCAGGGCCTCCATGCCCATCATAAATTCCCACAAAGGTACCATATGGTCCATAGTCATATGAGCTTAAACACCCAGATTCAAGCCGACTCTGATCTTCCATCAGGTTATTGGCTTGAACTACAGCCATTGAGAACTCTCCACTAAAATGCTGCCCTGTATCCTTGTACCATAGGAGCCCATCTTGACGACCAGTAGCATCAGAACCCGAGTACACATGCCGTTCTCCCTTTGGGCAAAAGCACGCCCTCAGAATTTTCATCAACCCAGATAACATACCTCATCTCATCCACACCAGCCTCCAATTGATTATCTTCTAACTTCTAAGTGACTCACTCCTCACGCCCACTTATGTCAATGCTTCTCTCTGCAGAAACAACAAAAATTCCCTGCACTGCACACCAATCACAATATCAACTACACTATAAATAAATTCACAATAAAAACAATTTCTAACGCCCAAAATCAAGCAACTTATAAACATGTCAACAAACCAAGCAACTTTATATTCAATTCAACAGGGGCTGGTAGAATTATATATGGTTATGGTATCCCCATTAACCATCCTCCTCCTCCTAAAACAGAAAAAATCTCGGCGCACAGAAGATACAACAAATAAGGAAGGGACTTTGAGAAATGATTGGTAAAATTGTTTCTTTCAAGGATATTGGTCAGCAACTTAAAAATCCAGAATCAAGAAGAACAAAAACAACAACCATCATCGGCATAATACTATTTAAAAAAAAAACTGATATCAAACAAATCTGATATTTCAAGACCAAAAAATTCTAGAATCGGGATAAAGCATAGAAGAAAAAAATAAAAGAAAATACCTTTGAGAATGAATAGAAGATCTGAAAGCGAAAGAGCTTATAGATCTGCGGATCCTTCAAATCAAACTTTGACGGTTTCTTATCTATCTTTGTGTGTTTATCTAAAGTCAAAGAAAGAATAAAAAAGACGATGGAAGAGAAATGAATGAAATCGATGAGAGTGAGCGTGTGAACTGGTTCGATTGTGCCAATCTCTCTCTCAACAGACAAACCCCATTAAAAATAAAAACAATGGAGAGCTTCAGGCCAGCAAAGCAGAGGACCAGCTTGGGCTCCACAAACCTGCCTCTTCACTCCCAACCTTTTGCTACACAAACAAATGATCTTCAAAATCTGTACTGACAAATAACCGACGCTTCTTCGCTCGCTCGCTCGCGCGAATACGCACTCTACTTCTTTTACGTTGCAGAAAAAGTCAACCACTTTCCCTCGACTAATGCTTGTCCCCATGATTATTTTATTTAACCGCCACTTACCTGTATTATTATTAACTGTCCCCACATTATTATTATTAACCGCCACATCTCTCTGTGGTCTCCCCAACAAGCCCAAAGGCCCAATCTTTGGTCCAATGACTTTGTGCCCGGATTCGATACATGGAGCCCCGGGAAACAAAAGGGGGCACAACTCCAGCAATAAACCTCCGACGATATTCCAGCAGCAACTCGGACGAGCACTGACCCCATTGTCGTTATAGCTTCAGTTTTGGCAAAGGAAACCAGAGGAAGTTGCAATTTGTGCAATTCTGCTACTGAAAAGGAGGAGGAGAGAACACTAATTGCTTACACTGAAACCTAGAAGCTGACGGGGGAGAGAGGAGGCAATGGCATTTTGGAGTCGCGTCAAGGAATCTCAGATCAGGGTTCTATCAAACAGACTAAAAAGATGCTATTTTCATATACATAATCCAACTGAACTGCCGCAGCGTGCTTCATCACATGCTTCAATTTGGGTTCCGAACAAGCCCAACCTAACTATCCATACGAATCGGGTCGAGTTGATGAACAGCGTCAGGTTCTTCGCTGCACCAATTCAGGCAATTTCTTACTTCATATTTAGCTTCAACATGTATTGACATGCGCTCAAGAGTCCAGATGTTTAACCATGTTTTTATAATCACAGGCTAAACCGAAGAAGAAAGAAAAGGACACAGGTGGGCCGAGATTGAATGAGAAGGTGACTGCAGCTTTCGTTCGTCTAGTCACTGATGAAGGTGCTACCTAGCCTCAGTTTCTGTTTTCCTTTTTTTTTTTTTTTTTTGTGTGGAAGAGGAAATAAAGTGGAAAAATCAAAACTTGCTTGTCATGCATTTTAGGATTGAGCTCTTTTTTAGTCTTCTTTGCGAATGTATATGGAGTAATTCATAGTTCATCTATACTTATCTTTTTTTATTAGTCTCATAAACCTCGGATATCAATTTGATAGTTAAAGAGAGGTTTCAGAGACCACATGGTGACCATGGAAATACTGGATATTAGTATCTTGTCACCAAGAAACCACTAACTCAAGATTGAGATTGTGGATGATTAAGAAAGCTGCAAGTGAGAATGTAGCAAAATTGGAAAAAAGTGAAGGAGAAGTATACATGTGTGTGTGTGTCTCTCTATTTTAATGTTTAACAGCTTAATCAAAATATTTTAATTCTTGCACAGACTGTTTATTTTGGGTCTAATTTAAGATCATATGCAGATCATGTTGTAATATCAAGGCTTGAAGCTCTGAATCGTGCTAAGAGTCTTAATCTAGATTTAGTTGAGGTAAAATAATACTTTAATGGATTGGATTTTAATTCCCCTTTTGTTTCACGCTTGTAATAATACAGAGAAGGCAAGAAAGAGTAATACATTTTAAAGCCTTCAATTTACAAATGCTCTACCAAACTAGTTTCTGTAATCTTGTAGGTTGATCGAACTGCCAAGCCACCTGTCTGCAAGATTATGGACTACAATAAGGAAAAGTATTTAAAACACTTAAAGGAGAAAGAGCTAGCTAAGAAGAAGGTGGGTACTGTAGTTCTTTTTCATTTAGAACAGTACAACAATCATTCATGGCTAATTTTCAAAATAAGTTGGGGATATTTTATGGCTACTAATTTCCCTGAAAAATACAAGGAGTGGTAATTGCAATTAAATTTTGGGTCTGTAGACTGAAATTGAACTAAAATGTTTTGTGAATAAAATGACTGGTTACTAGATGAAAAGATTAGCACTTAGCTTTAGTTTCTGCAATTTTTTGAGAGCATCTGTTTGTAATTTGATATTCAGTTCTTGTGTTTATTAAATATCTTTGCAGTCTGATTTGACTGTAAGGAAAGGTGGTTGCAAGCTAGTCCAGTTTCTCGGTAAAACTGTAAGTCTCCTTCCAGCATTCCTGCACTACTTCATTGATTGTGATGCTCTGAATTAATTGACAATATCCTTTCGTGTTGTATCCAGGAAAAAAAGGATTTGAATATTAAAGCAGATACAATTAAGAGAATGATGGACAAAGGTTATCGGGTTAAGGTACTTGATTATCAGCTACTATCATGTTCCACTTTGTATGTTCTACTTCAATTTTGTGATGTTCCTTGATGGATGACCCCGTGTGAGCCTTTTGATATTTTTCATCTAGGATACACTGAGTACCTTGTTTCACATATTCTAATTTGTATTAATATATCTCGCTAGTCTCCTTTACTTCGTTTCCAATCATGTTGGATGGTTTAGTATCTTGTTGTCTCCCTTTGTAGAATATTTATTGCATTCATCATCTCTGGTAAGGGAGTCAATTGACTATTGGATTACATAAAAGTTTTCCTTTGTGTGCTCTATGTGTCAGCCGCATTGGTAAAATATTTGATATCACAGTTTCTTGAAAATCTTCTGGTTAAAAAGTGATGTACACTTTCCCTGCCCTCTGAAGAATTTTCCTGGTACATGCTTTAGTAGAGAATAATGCCTGAATACTCCATAGGTATATTGTGTTTGTGCTATAGGTCTATCTAGCCTTGCTATCCATATGTCTAAAATGTTTAATAGAAAAGGTTCCCTCCAAGTGTTTAAGAATTCTGTTATTCCTTCAAGTTGTTTGAAATGGATGTATTTGGTACTGTGCAATGTTTTGCCACTTGTGCAAAGAGAACTTCTTTTCATGCACAAACTAAAACACCTTTTCTATTCTCTTTGGTTGATGAGCAGTGTATGGCCATGGGCAATGGTTCTGATAATGAAAACTTGGGAGAGGTGCTGTCACGTCTCTCTTCTCTGGTAAGAATATGGTTTCCTGTTGTTGGGTGGTGTTGAGTTATTGTGTTTTGTAGTGTTTCACCAAGCTTGAATTGGTGATTTTCTGTAGATAGAGGATGTTGCGTTGATTGAAAGTGGACCACATGTGGAAAAGAAACATGCATATATTATTGTCAGGCATGTTAAGTTTGGTCAAAAAAAGAAGGGCACGGGAAAGAAGGCTTCTAATGTTGCTGCAACCTCTTCAGTTGACAGTCAAGAGTGCGAAATGGATTCTGATGCTGCAGACGTGAGAGTGGAACCCGGGGATGATTGCATTACAGAAGATTTGAGTGATGATGATGTGGAAAACAAATTGGACTGGAGGGCTTCTGATGCGAATGTTGATACAGATGAAGTTTCCAATACTGGCCATTCCAAATTTGCTTCCATGCCTGCAGCTTCATCTGCTCCATTTCAGGAAAACAGATATAGAGGAGAATCAGGGAACACGGGTCCAAGAGGAAAGGATAATAGGTATCTCAGACAACCTGCAAACGGAGCTGGTTCAGCTGAGAGAGAAAATAGGTATAGACGAGAACCAGCAGCAGCTTCATCTCAGACTCCACCTGCAGCAGGAGAAAATAGATACAGAAGAGAGACTGTAAACCCATCTTCTACTTCATGGCAAGCTTCTCCTAGGGGAGACAATAATAGTTATAGAAGAGAGCAACCACAATTTAATACGAATTCTTCTTCTTCCTCGCCTCAAAGAAAAAGTGCAGATCCCCGTTTCTTGAATAACTCTTCCAGCAATGGGTTCACAGAACAACGTACCTCTGAATCTAGTGCCCACAGGTCTCCAGCCTCAGGCTATGGTGTCTTTAATGTTCCACTTCCACAAGCTGAAAATGGTCCTGGAAAACAGAATGTAGCAACAGGGCCTAATAGATACAAGAAAGAAAATACAGCTAATTCTGCAAGATATTCTACTAACTCTTAATGCCCTGACCTTCAGATCCTTGGGAGAGCTCAAAACTCAAAATGTGGCCCCCAGACAGGAAAACTTAGAACAACCATTTTAATTTAAAAACATCATTTGTTTAGAATAATATTTCAAACTCCTAATGATTCTGCTATAGTTATTCTTTTTTATTTTTTATTTTAAAGATGTTTGGCACATTTGGAATTTTTGGTGTACTTCATTTTTGGGAGTTGTGCTTTTGTGGGGAGCTTGTCTTCTTCAATAAATATGGCAAAATAATAAAGGTAGCAATGTAGCATCATATAGGCCATGCATGGTAAATAGTTGTTAGCTATTAGCTGATTGGGTTAATTAGATGTTATAACTAGTTGATAACATTAGCTGATTGTAAAAATGTGTTTGGTCAGTTAACTGTTAGCTGATAGTTGTTTGGTATAATAATTTCTTGAGAAAAGGGTCAAATAGGTCCCTAAACTTTATCACAAAGGTCAATTAGCCCCTTAAACTTTACAAAAGTGTAATTAAATCCTCAGACATGTCAAATTGGGTCAATGAAACCCAAAAATCGATAAATAACCTGTAATTACAGGTCATTTCAATCCCAGCAACGGAATTCGACGATCAGCGACGAATTCCGGCGACTGGCGAAAAAATCCGGCCGTCCGGTCGTCTTCCACTGGAGAAGACGACCGGACGGCCGCCTTCTCTAATGGAGAAGACGCTTCTCCATTGGAGAAGAATGACTAGATTTGGCCGCTCTTCTCCAATGGAGAAGACGGCCGAATTTTGTCGCCGATGATCAGATTTTTTTTATCGGTGGTCGGAATTCTTCATCTGTGGCCGGAATTGAAATGACCTGTAATAACAGGTCATTTGTTAATTTTTGGGCTTCATTGACCCAATTTAACATGTTTGAGTGTTTAATTGCACTTTTGTAAAGTTTAAGGTGCTAATTGACCTTTGAGGTAAAGTTTATGGGTCTATTTGACTATTTTCTCTAATTTCTTTTCTCAAAAAACTAATTGAAAAATTTGTTTTGAGCCGCTTTTTGAATTTTAACATTTAAAAGTTACAAAAAGCTGATTAACTAAACAGTGTCAAACAGTTAATAGTAGTCAAATAAGTTAAAATTGACTGATAAGATAACTATTTTACCAAACAGGGCCATAATAATTTCTAATAATACAAATTTGTTTGATGTCTTAAAGCATTATAATGTCATGGAGTACCAGTACCAAATAGACACAATAGTGTAAAACATTGTGAAATTTCTCAAAATTCTTTAATTCAATAGTTTTTTTTTTTTTTAAGAAAAAAAAAAAAAAAAAAAAAAAAAGGAACCAAAGCCCAAATAGAAAACATTGGGAACCCCCTTACCGTCCCCCCTCCCCCCCAAGGGGATATATATTACGGCCCGCCTTCCTGGCTTCTGCACTGCACTCTGCTGCATCTCACTTTGAGCTGCGCTCTTTTTTCGCTCAGTAGTCAGTAGGAAGCATTGGCATTTGGCAATTGGCAGCAACCTCTATAGTCTATACTTGAAGGTTACGATCAAGAATCTCAGGTTCGATTATTCTCTTGCTTTCCCACACGTAGAGTATCTATATTGCCATAGTTTATAGCATTTAGGAAAAATCAAGACGAAGATTTGATGACTTGCTCTCCAAGAAAGTAATCCATCTCTATAGCTTTTTTTATCTTTCCAGATCAATCAATCTCAATCACCTTTTCCTCTTCCATAATCCCAGGTAAGTTCTTAGGATACCTATCCCTTGTCACCAGCTGAATCGGAATTATGGACTTCATGAGCTTTTTCTGTGTTTTTTATGTGGCTACGCTTTTGGTTCTGATTTCGCAGATTCTTTCGCAGAATATGACTCAAGACGTTGAGATGAAAGAGCAGCAACCTGCTCCTTCCAATTCTTTGTCCTCCACCGATCCCTCCGTTTTTGAGCGTAAGTTCATCTTTTCTGAATCTAATTAAACACGGTATACCTGCTCTGCTCTCATCTTCTGTATACTTTTGGTTTATGCTTAAGGAAATTTGAATGTTTTAGATTTGAAGGACATTGCTTCCCTTGTTGAGGCTGGAGCATATGCTCGAGAGGTTAGGAGGATTGTTAGGGCAGTGAGGTTGACCATCGCGTTAAGGAGGAAGCTTAAAACTTCTGCCCTCACTGCTTTCCTCAATTATTCCCTTACACCTGGATCAGATGTCCATGCTCGCCTTTCTGCCTACCTGCCCAAGGTAAGCTGAATACTAGAATATGTGAAATTCCAGTATCTGCCTTGGACAAATGCCTTTGATGTGTATGTACTCTCTATATTATTCTCTTCAATTTTCTAGAAATATGCTCTAAATAATGCAACAAAGTAGTGATGGGTGTTTGTCTACTTCTTAATATATTACTTGCCTACTTGGACAGATAGTGTGAACTGTGAAAAGTGAAAGTCTAGATTCTTAGAGGGGTTTGAAAAAGTTCAACTCTTGATTGAACCTATGACAAATAACAAATGTATTCAATTAATATAGTATGACTATATGATGACTTGTAGCAATGAATTTCTGAACATTGGCCATTTCTGTTTCTGTATTTAATTTCTTCTTGGCTGCCCTCTTGCAGTTTTTCTATTTTTTTCCTTTTTGGTTAATTCTTCGTTCTGTTTTCATAACATATTAATTATCCATTATTTTGTGAGGTTTACTAATGATTTTGGTGCTCGCATAGGAGGATGAGCTTGATATGGAAGTTGACATTGCATCTCAAGCCCCTGCAAAGCACCTTGTGCCAGAGCTTGAGATTTATTGCTACTTGCTTGTTCTTATATATCTAATTGATCAGGGGAAGTACAGTGAGGTCAGGCTAATGGTTTTCTCCTTCCTTGCATTCTGATGTTTTTTTTCTTCATATAGATTCCTAAGTAGTTGTTTTCCTTCAGGCAAAGGCTTGTTCTTCAGCAAGCATTGCTCGTCTAAAGACGTTGAACAGGAGGACTGTTGATGTTCTAGCTTCTAGGCTCTACTACTACTATTCTTTGAGTTATGAGCGTACTGGTGATCTTGCTGAGATCCGAGGGTAAGTTCCAAACCTATCAAAATATCAATCTTGTGAAAAAACTCATTAAGTTGCCTCTTCACCCACTCTTCTCTAATGACAGGGAAAAAGATATACTGTACATTGTCATTTCATTTATCTCGTATTCTGACATTATTCAAGCCCTTCTTTTGTGGCAGTAACCTCCTTGCTTTGCACCGGATTGCAACACTGAGACATGATGAGCTGGGTCAGGTATGTGACATATGGAATCCAACCCTTAATTTTCTAATATTTTCTGTGTTTGTGTATGTTTTTTTTCTTTTTTAATGTGATGATTTTGTTGTAGGAAACACTTCTTAATCTGTTACTCCGGAATTACCTTCACTACAACTTGTATGATCAAGCAGAGAAGTTGAGGTCAAAGGCACCCCGTTTCGAAGCTCATTCAAATCAGCAGGCAATTCTCTTTACAATTTTCATTTGCCAATTCATTTTCTCTAGAAGTGTATTTTGCTTATGATAAAAACTGGAGAGTATATTCAGACTTGGGAATATTGGTGTTTCTGGACATAGCAACACTCCATTGGTTGTAGTCCATATTAACATTCCAATCCTGTCTGAAGTTTTCTCCCTATTTGGCCCAATACTATCTAAGGCCACATTCTATTCACAATATCATGTAATTCAACCTAAAAGGTTGTCCACATTCCTAAATAAACACCACAATCCACAAATAAATCTACTCTCCTACACTATGCTTCTAATAAAAGTCGAAATGTTATCCAACGTAACTTTTAATGGACAAAGGAGTAGAAATATCCACTTTTTCAACTATATTTAAATGGGTATCTACAGTAAATATGACAACTTTTGTGGGATGGAGATATTAATAAAAAGTGGGTTTTGAGTTCAGTTTCATCAAATTTTGTTCTTTTTTATTTGTAAAAAGTTTAAGTTCAGATTAGTAAATGAAGAAAATAAAATCTTATATTTACTCCCAAACCCGATCTTTTAATTTAATTTTGATATCTATTAGGGATGTCATTCAGATTTGAATTTCTATTACTTCGCATGTGATACTTGTTTTAAAAAGATCTTTTGTCAATTTTGGATTGTGATTGCTTTTTGTTATTTCTGTGAAGTGCTTGTCCTCAAATTGACTCATCCGCTTCTTTTTATTTCTCTTTGGTTTCCAGTTTTGCCGGTACCTCTTCTATCTTGGAAAGATTAGGACTATTCAGTTGGAGTATACAGATGCTAAAGAGTCTCTCCTTCAAGCTGCCCGAAAGGCTCCAGTTGCTGCGCTTGGGTTCCGAGTCCAATGCAATAAGTGGGCTGTTATTGTTCGCTTATTACTTGGAGAGATACCTGAAAGGACTCTGTTTATGCAGAAAGGAATGGAGAAAGCATTAAGGCCGTACTTTGAGTTAACAAATGTAAGTATGAGAGAGAGTATGAGATCATGTTGTTTGCATTATCAACCCTGCCACCCCACACCCCAAAAAGCCATATTGTTTGTCTTGGAGATTGTGTTTTTATTTTCTGAGATAGGAGCAATGGAGGTCTTTTGCCACATTTGCAACTGTCACTTGTGCACACACATGACATGACATATCTAAGTGTATCATTGTCAGTCAAGTTGTGAGTATACTTACTGGCTACAATGGAGATTGTGTAATGTTGTTTGGTGAAGACATTACTGACATCTAATAGTTACTCAATCCTAGTTCCCTCCATTTGTCTGGAATTTTGTTTGGCTATCCGAGCTCTGTGCATCCTGCATTGCTTCACATATAGTTTCACAGATGTGTTAAGTCATTGATAACTGTGTGGTGTTGTAATGTATTTGATTTCAGGCTGTTCGTATCGGGGACTTGGAGTTATTTAAAACAGTTGCTGAGAAGTTCTCAAGTACTTTCAGCAAGGATGGAACTAACAATTTGATTGTGAGGCTTCGACATAACGTCATTCGGACTGGGTTACGCAATATCAGTATCTCATACTCTCGCATCTCGTTGGCTGATGTTGCAAAAAAGCTAAGATTGGATTCTAAAAACCCTGTTGCTGATGCTGAAAGCATTGTAGCAAAAGCAATTCGAGATGGTGCAATTGATGCCATATTGGATCATGGTAATGGATGCATGGTGTCCAAGGAGACA